CCCCCCCCCCCCTCTGGCTGGGTGTGTACCTATTTGTGAAGCTACGGTTTGGCATTCCACAATTGATTATTTCCTGTTTCCGAGCATGCTTTATTTCTCATCAGCAGGAATGCCATTTGCATCAAAAAGTCATGCGGGAAAATTCAGTGTTCGGATGCTAAATGACCCTTGCACTTCTTCTACCAATCAATTAGGTACAACAAATGCGTGCGCCCTTGGTGGGGACACCAACCTTCAGGAATACTGGTTGATTTCGTACTGCTCTTCTAGTATGAGGTTTTCAACGTATGAGGTTTTCAACGCCAGTTTTGTCTCCAGACACCGTCCATTACACTCGCATGATTTCCGGTTATCAGAAACAAAAATCCGTTTTGAAATCGAAGTACTTCTTGAAGAGATATGCGGCAAAAGGTAAATGTATCCTCTCGTCTCTCTTTCCCTCTCTCTCGCTCTCTGTATCTCTCGGGCGCGCGCTGCGCGCGCGCAAAAAGTTTTCGTTTCACGTTGCGCGGCCTTCGGCCGCGGAATAAAGTTAAAAAGCTGGCGCGGAACACCAAAAAATCGCCCAAGTGGACATACATATGGACCATCCATTCTTCTTGTACTTTTTTTGCGCCAGCGGGAGAATGTTAGGGTTTGTTCCACCAACGTGAAGGTTTTCCGAACTGGAGTTTGGGGGCTTCACTTCCTGTTGCGGAGCGTTTTTTTTTGCGGCCCTGCTGTTTGCCGTTTGCTGTTGCACTTGGATTCATCGTAATTGGTTACAATTGTAGTTTGCGGCCGAAAACAATTAGTCTAGAACTACAACAACCCTTCGAAGTACTAGAATATTTTCGTTCCTTTGCCTCGGAAGAGCACGGAGGAGGAGGTTGAGGTCCTGAATAGACGCCATCGGTTTTCAGTGAAGCTACAACAACCAACACCATTTACGAATTGACAACAGCGGCAGCAAAACAACCCTTGTTTTGAGAGGTTGCCTCGCAAATACTTACCCATTAACACACCTCCCTATTGATTTCTCCACCACCCAGACGACATGTTGATCTATCCGGCCTGGTGGTGTATCATCCTGGCCAGAGGGCAGCTAAAGGTACTTGTTTGATAAGTTGACCTTCAAAAACATCGGGCCCACCTCACGTATAAGCCGCGCGCGCACCACCGTATTTTTCTGGGAGGCACGACACGCGTCTATCTCTCTGGCTGCTGTAGCAGTGTGGGCAACTAACGAGGTGGCCACCAACGCGGCACGGCGAAAGGGCCCACCCACAAACCGCTCCAAGTGCTGCGTTCAGCAGGAAGTAGGAGCGCACGCAGCCCGAGACTTCTTATCGCGAGGGTGTTAATGAAGTGTCCGCAGGCCTCACAGGTCGCCACGAATGCTTGATTGTGGTGCCAACAGCAGTGAGTGATGGACGAATGGGTGAATGTACTCATCTCCGCAGCCGTTCGTTCCAAAAAAGCGAAGCAAACCGTGACCATCAATCACACACCGTCCGACAAACACGAACGCGAAAAAAAAAAACTGCAACACCCTTGCTAGCCTGCCTGCTTGCCACCAAGCCAAAGGCCATATGGTAATTACACGAAAAAAAGGAGCACGGGGGCAAGCAAATGCGACTCACAGAAACATCAAAAATACATGGAAACACCCCCACGGTGTCATGCGCACGTTAACAACAATGAATTGAACCTACCTGACCATACTGGCGCGTGCTCCACATGTACGTGCATCGGGTTGTCGAGCGGGGGGTGGGGTGGTGGGAAGACCGCCAGGCACATGCGACAAGACGACTACGCTGTAGGTATGGGGCGCCAAGCCATCCTCCTCTCTGTAGGTTGCGTCTTGCTGAACAGCGGTGTCTTCGTCCGGGACCCCAGGACGTGAATGATTCTACGCTACGTGAAAGATGCAACAATACAACAGGGGCAGACCTATCCTCATCCTCTCCCCCATTCTCGGTTGTCCGGACCCTCGAAATACGGACAAAAACACCCCCCCTCGCGTGCAAAAAGCCACAATAAAACAAAACAAAACAGTAAAAAGACCAGGTGCGTCGAAGGCAACACAAAGACGCAAACGACGCCGCCTTCATATCGTTACGCCGCCAACGCGCGTCCCTCCTGCCCGTCACCACCCGTCAGGTTACCAGGGTTCCGTGTAGTTCGCCGGGAATATCCCGGTATTCCCGTGGCACGTCCCCGACACCCACCCGTCTCCCGAAAACGCTCCCCCGTCTGTGATGATCATGTCCCCCACCCCGAAGCTCAGGTCTCCTTCCTGCGTGGCCTCGTAGTCGTACAGAGCGCGCACCCGCACCTTCCCGGGCTCAAGCTCGGCCATCTCCGCCACCTCTGCCTCCGCCCCGTCCCCACCCTCTACCCCTAGTACCTCCTCCGCTTGCTCCTCCCCCGGTGCCGACGCCTCCGGCGCCGTCGCCGTCGCCGGTACCGACGCCGTCAACGCCTCTACCTCATCGTCAGGGCTCTCCGTTTTTGGCCCTGAACCCGCCACAGTCGCCTCGTCTTCAGCGGGAGGTTTCGGAGACTCCGTCGGCGCGGTCGCGTCCTTCTCCACCGCTGCTGCCGGCGGCGGCGCTAATGTCGCCGCCTCCGACGGGTCGCGGTTCTCGGCATCGTCCGCGGCATCGGCGCCGGCGGCGCCGGCGGCGCCGGAGGTCGACGAGTTCGTCATCGCCGGAGTGTCCGCACCCGCTGCCCCCGTCCCCGCCAACGCCTCCCCCACTGCCGCCGCGGCCGCCGCCGCTCCCGCGGCCGCCGCCGACTCCGCCGCCATCTTACTGTTCTGGTGCTCGTGGGCGCGCTTGAGCTCCTCGCCGAACTCGCCCCCGTCGTTGCTGCCTGACCAGGGGGCTCCGCCGTCCTTCGGGCTCATGGGCGTTCTGGGTTGCGAGAACACAAAAGAAAAAGGAACGTACATACGTGTCCATGGCTCAGGGTTGTTAGGGTTGATTAGCGCGTCCCTTCTCTCTAAACGCACGGGTTTGAAACGCTGCAGATGCAAAGCGTGCTCGTCGTTGTCGCCCCCTACATCCATCTAGCGCGCGAATCACCGCCCTTGGTTTGTTCAGGGGGGGCGCGGGGGGGGGCTAGCCATTCGCAAGAGCACGCACTCAGGGAGGTCCAAACTCATCCCAGGCATGTATGCACCCGGAAAAAATCTAAAAAATATCGCCAAAACCCCAACACAACGCTGCACAATCGCCAAGATCTTCGACCCCCGCACCTCCCCCTCCTTCACCCATCGGTGATCGGCCCTGTCGGAACAATGCTCCGTCCTCTCGAGGACGCGTGGTCAATGGTCAGTGGTCATACCGCTAAGACATGCAAAACAGAATAGCGCGCCCCCCCCCCCCC